GTGTGTGTTTACAGCTAAGAGATGAAACACAGACTAACTACATCATAAAATGTCCTCGGGCACATGGCACTTAAGACCAATCCTTCTATTCTACTACTTCATAAGAGGCAACAGCTGTGATGTGTAACATTGTTGCGCAGACGCTTAGAACTATGAGCCGAGGCATATAACTTGAGAATGCGCTATTCCAATTACCTAAATTAATTCAGGATGCATACAGTGAGTATATTAATCGACCAAGCGTGTACAGGGCGACACTGTACAGACTTGTCATTTCCAGTCTTTTGATGTTCACTCTTCCGTTTGCCACAATGTACATTTCTTATCGTTATATTAAAGGTAAGCGTTAAAATTTTCGATTTTTTGATGTTTTTTTTTTTTTTTTCTAATTTAGTGATTTTAGAAAAGTGGCTTCTTTGAGTGTAACGCAGTTCAATCAATGAAGATAAATACAAAGATTTAGACGTTTTGTGCAGTCAGTCCGTACTAATCTGATCGGTCTTTGGATAAAACTTGATGTAACTATTGCAAGCGCCAGAAGGACTCAGCAACATTAATCCGCATTAATTCACCCATTGTTGACGCATTCTGACTTTCTTTTGGTAAAACTTCGATGAAAAGTGCAATTTAAAAATTTGGTGTGCTTGTTGCATCATGACTCCCTCCTAGATAGGTCATGTAATGGCGTGAAAGCGGCCCATATAAGGCTGCTATGTCGATATTGTAAAGTAGTGCCGATCCAGTGTGGTGTTGCGGTATTGTGGAGGCGACCCAGTCGATTCATGGACACGGACCCTACCACCCTGAACTATCGCCAGGGAGTCGATGACCCAACTCAGTAAGCCGAAGTCTCCTTTTCAGTCTCCTTTTGGTCATTTTTAGAACATTTTTGGTTCTTTCATAATTATTTTTTTTTGTATGTGTTTAAATAGCAGGACTGCCCGATCAGTCAGTGTAGGGGTTCCATGTTAGTGTTATTACTGGATAACAGGATGAAGACAATTGTACAAAGTGACAGAATGAAAACAATTGTTTTTTTTTTTGTTTTGGTAGTCTCAGAATTGTATTCGTTTTCAGAAATTCCTGGTTGGACATCAGCTACTGCAATTGTTCCTGCAGCTGTCAGTGCCATCATTGTGGTTTATATGATTATTGTGATGTTCATTTTTGTGGCGTACAAGGAAGAAAAAAAGGATGCCAGCTTGAAGGAAAGTTTGAAAAAGAAGGAATGAAAAGGGAAGCAGCGGAAGCCGTCTATGCTACTTGTGTTAGTCTGTTTAGTGCATGCTTATTTTGCTGTATATTTTGATCGGTTACCGTTTCATCGCTGTACATCGATGCAATCGGCAACTTTTTTAAAGTGCATAGAATATGATACATACTGTGTACAACAAATTTATTAAGCGAGCAGGGCTATATTTTTTAAATCTGGGTATGCTTAACTGAATGGTTTCATGTCGAATTTGATGTCGAATTCGAGCCAGCGGTTTGGATCTCCGGCTGAAAAGTTAACCGTTAACGTTCTTTTGAATCATTCCACTGCTAAACTGGTATGGTGCATGCCAGATAGCCAGAACCGCCATCGGCTTGCTTCCAAGCAACTTTTGGACGAGAAAGCGATCAGCAATATATGCCAAATGCGAATAGGCGCTATCGCTTCCTGTACTTGCGGCTGGAAAAAAAAAATTAAAATATGAGAGAAAGGTAATTTTTAGTTTACATATAACGAAGTGAAATAAGCGCTGTATTATAAATGATTTGAGAGAAGAGAAAACACGATTTCTAGAAATCTATTTGAGTTTTCGTTGTGTGCAGTTTTTAAATCTCGAACTTCTTCAGCATCATTTGTATATTCATTTTTTCTCTGCCATTTTGTATATACTTTTTTTTTACGCTTTAACAATACACTCACTAGTTGGTAAAAAAAAGGAAAAAGTAAATTTTCTTAATAAATTTACCGACGCCAGTTTCTGCTAACTGGCATGGTGCAGTGGGAAGTAACACTGCTGTCGTGCGCAAGATCGGCGATTCGACTCCGCCAGTGGAGGGAAGGGGAGAGATTGGGGGAGGGGGGGAGGGGGGAACCAACCCCTCTATGATTTGTTCATTCGATTCGGTGAAATTGGTATTGAAACATGCCAGTATCAACCCTCCACCTGCTTGCTTCAGTGCAACCTCCAAAGGAGAAAGCCATTGCCAGTTTTACCACTGAGCGGTTGTTGTTGGTGCGTGCTACCACTCCGGTCATTTCTACTGCCTATTGTAGAGAGTGGGTATGGGAAAGGTAAAGCTTGTACAGCTTAATGGACCGAAATGTGTTAACCTCAGCTAAATAATTTATCGTGTACATTGTGATTTTCAGTCTGATAATATTTCTATTATATTGTAATTCCTATGACTGTCTTCTAATTTTTACTATTACCTAATGCAATGTTTAGTGGTAGAATAGCGTTAATATTGTCGCTCAAGCCTAATAAATATCTTAGCATCTAACACGCAGAAACTTCCGTATACATTTCTTATCCAGAAATCCTCGTATATTGTCAGGGATCCACGAAGTCTGCACTAATTTGGAACATCTTCGTGGTTCGGATGTTTTACAGAGTATAGATGTTATATAGATCGGTTGCGATCATACCGTAATGTAGATTATTATTCCCCTGCACATTGTCGGAATGGGTATGTGCAATCACAGAAGTATATTCCGTTTTGTTTCAACAACAAAAACCCTGATAGCATTAGCAAAAAAGCCGTTTAATAAGCAATGAATTTTTCTGTGACACTGTGTGCGACGAATCTCAGTTTTTGAATAGTCCTAAGACTGTAAAAGCATTGTTTTGAATATCGCTTTTCTACTGTCATGGAATGGAAATTTCGCCTTCCATCTCCGGCTTTTCTGTCGGAGACTTCCGATCTGTCGCGAGACTGAAATATTCAAAAGAAGAAAATTCTTTAATTCAAAAAAAAAAAGAAATTATTAAAGAGCGTTGTTATTTTTTGTCTCTTGCGAACACCATCCCGTCAAAGTAGTTCGATGAGATTACTGTAGTGATTTTCTTTGTACTGTCACTGGGAAATTTTTGTATTATTTTATCATAGTGGTAGGACGGGCGGGAGTAAGCTATGCCAGGGAAGCCAAACCGCCCTTCACTTCATTCGAGACTTTAGTTCGCATCGGGAATTACAGCTCTTCTCGCCCCCTGCATTCAAGAACCACTCATCCGCATTCCAGCCTGCTTCACGATACGTTCTGTCCGCTTCTTTTGACGGCTGTTCTTGATTCGTCTCCACTGACAGCTCTAGTCACGTTTTGATTCATCTTTTTCAGGAAAGCAGTGTTTGCAGTGATGACTAGGGAACTGTACGTCGAGACCTTTATTCTTGACACATTTAACGGACTCGGCATTTTGCCTGATAAAGATTTGAGGATTTACGTAGTTCTCTCAGTTTTCCGCGCATCTTTAGCCAGATATATGCACGCTGGCTCGTGCATATGCCTAGGCAGGGATGCGCGAGAAGATGAGAGCGCCGGGTACGTCACATGAGGAAGCAATTGAGTGAGCAGTATGTAACATAGAACGTAATTAGTTATTAGAGTAAAACAAGTTTAAAAAACGCATAATCGAAAAAGAAGTGCCTTCCCCAGTTCCATTGTGGTATTTGCTGCTTCATCAAACCCGTCATCGACATGGTTATGAAAATGAACGAAAAAAAAAAGATGGCAAAAGAGCTGTGTTTTTCCCTTCCGCACTTTTCCAGATCTTTAACATACGGTCAGATCTGCATAGCTCTCTCGACCTTTCCCAAACTTCGAAGATCCTTCACTTTTTCTCTTTTTTCCTTTCCTTCTTCCCGCCCTCCTCACCTCTCCCCGCTCTTCCTCCCCGCTCCTCCCACCTTGCCTGTTTTCCAAAAACAACCTCCCTCCGCTCCACCAAAAAAAAAAATCAGTTGTGGCGTGCTCCAGAATGACTGGTGCAATCATCCGTTTTTGCACGATTACATGCTGAAGTGAGGTCACCTGGAATCTCAGTAGCTACAGTTTTCGATTTACTAGTTCTCGAAATTCAGGTGGTTAATTGACAGCTATATGGTGTGCCACTTGCCGATGCCGTCTGTAGTGACCTGACAGGCCAGAAGTTATTAGTGCGCGGAAGAGACCTCACGAAAAGCATCAATCGTTCCTTTTAAGCGTTGCCTTTACTGGGATGGAAAAGAATGTCGCTAATACTTTTCGATCATTGATAATGCAAATGATGGGGAACATGGCTTAGATATATAATATGATGTAAAGTGCAGGAGGCCGAAATGAAACTTGTCTTGCCAGCTGGACTTGATTGCTAAATCTGTCCAGTGAATCTGCGAGGGAAAGGCATGGACGAGAACTAATTTTACATTTTTTGAGCTGTAATGAGGCAGGTAACCATCCTGTAAAAATTTACTATCCTAGTAAATGTTGGGTTGAGAAGATTGCGCATAGCAAGTAACATTTAATATATCCAAGCCGCATATGCCAGTTTTCTGCATGCGAAGTAAAGCTGCCTACGTAGTTTGATTCGCTGGTTTAATGGTTGTCAGCAGCGCTTCCAGTGGAAGTGTTACCTGCTCATACGCGAAATCGAACTTCTATCTAAGATGAATTTCAAACATTATATTTTCTGATCGTACCGGGGAAGTGCTAGAATTCACTTGCTTAGATGAGGAAGGATGCTAGGCAAACAACTTATGAGTCACAAAGTGGGCAATTGCTAACGCTCGGATCGGCTCGGCTCGCCTCGGCTCCAGCTCGGCCCGCCTCGGCAGCTGCACGAGTTGCCAATTTGCAGGCAAATGTGAAGTGAGGGAGTAGGGGGAGGGGGGCAGGGAGGGAAGGAGAGGCACGGGGAAGGGAGGAGGGGGACGGGAGGGAAGGCGGAGTGAGGAGAGCAGGAGGGACGGGAGGGGAGGTGGCGGATGGGGAGGAGAGGGATAAGTTCATAAATGCGGAAGCCTTCTTCATAAATGGAGAAATCCTTTACTGATAACGGGTTTTTCGCTTGCTTAAAGCTTCCTTATGAAGCTGATGCTTAGGCAAACCTTCCGTATGAAGCTGATGCTTAGGTAAAGCTGAGGGATCAAGTTGCTGATGCTTATGTAAACCTTTGGGATCAAGTTACTGATGCTTCAGTAAGGCTGGAAACTCTCAGTTTTACCTAAGCATCAACTTTGCCTTATTCGCTTCAGCTTTCTTCACCTAAGCATCAGCTTTATAGGTAGGGGTGTCCCCTTTTCGCTTGCTTTTCTTGATTTTACTTTCTTACTGGTGCTTTTGTCTTCCTTTCACTTTTCTCGCTGGTACTTTTTTCTTGCTTTTACTTTCTTGCTTGTACTTCTTTCTTCGCTCCTTTCAAGCCGTCGCCTCCTCCCCTCTCTCTTATGTAACCTAAGCAACAGCCAAAGGATCTGTGTCGCGTAGCCATTCAATGTACCAACCCAACCTGCTTCCCCTGCTTCGAATCCACACACGCGAAACCCTCACGCACCAACCCTCCCTCCCCCTCATCCCCATCACAACCCCCTCCCCGAATCCAACACCCAAAAGTGTGCCCATGCATTGCCAACTCTCTTCCTCCCACCTCCCCTCCCCAAGTTCTTCCATATCCACGCACCCGCTAGAAAACCAGCAATAGTGGTCCTGCTTCCTTCTGCCCATCGCCCCCTCTCCCGTATGTGGCCACTCGACGTTCCCACCCAACTACCCCTCCACCCGTGC